AAATTCAAGGAAACCCAACGTATGCATGACATCTTTTTCGGCTCAGTTTCACACATGCATGCTACACTTGTTGGCTTCAGAAATTACCTCCTCACCAGTCTGGATATTTATGCATGTTCTTATTCTCTCCCTGTATGGTACAGGGACCCTATGCACTCATCATGTGAGGACACTCTGAAGCAAAGTATTAGAAATAGAGCCTAAATTGGATTAAGCTTTTATGTTATGAAGGGACAGATTAACAAAATGTTTTATTTCCCTAGAGCAATGCAAGAAAACACAGCAGTATTACCAAAGGTTATTTAAAAATATTGACAATTTGGACATAAAGCATTTGAACTCTGCATGGGGAGGAGAAATTTCAGTTATGAAACTGGTGACTGATTAGCAAGGAAAAACGTGTGATTTAACCTGCCTAGCCCATAGTTCCTTCTTGGGAAGCTCCACACTATCTCTCTAGATCAGTCAGAATAACATTGCATCTCCTCTATGTTATGTCCCACCTTATTTTCCCCAGGGATGTTATTTAAATGTTAGATTTGGAATAAAATTGGTGAAAATACTATCAAACCAGTAGAAACATCATACTATAATTTCTTCAGAGTAATAATAATAAACAATGAAATATATTCTATTGACCATTGGTACAGTGACTTGCTTTACTTCTATGGCATAATAACTGTGGGAAGACGATAACAGAGAAAAAAAAAAGGTAAGAAAGAATTAGAGCCAAAGAAAGCATGTGCTCCATGGAAGGAAATTATTATCTATAGAGCTGAGATAATATAAAGCTTGGTGTCAAATTTCAACAGCACTGTCAGATGGACAGTTAACTAAATCACAGACACAAGACCCATATAATTACTGTGTAGAAAAAGGAAGGACACCAGCCTTTGGCTCTAGCAGGAACTTTTTTGTTAGAGCCAGGCATGACGGTACTATCATGGATGATGCTAACAAACACTTAGGGAAGTATTTTTTATTGCTCCTGATATCTGTATCTACTGTGAGAAATATCTGTTTTAACCCTCATATGATTCAGAACCGGGAGGGAAAGGAAGAGAGCTGGATTTTGTCCAAACACATTCAATAGTTCACTTGGAATTTAACTAAGGGTCACTAATGAAATAGATTAGGTGAATTCTAGAGGATAATTGCAGAGCAGGCTAGACCACAGAAAAAGTACAGTGTGAGTTGAACTGCAGGTCGCAAGTCAGGTCTAATATGTTCTTCTACTGTGACAAATGATCTGGCAAGTATTTTGTTGCACCCATAAAAATCTGAAGATAACCTGCTACAGCTTCCGAGAACTGTTCACAATAAAAAGAGGTTGAAACAGACTGAATTCTAAATTTGCTGTTAACTTCACTGCCATTGAGAACAAGTGAGCTCACCTCCAGGGAAAGAGGGCTGTACAAGCTCTTCCTCCTCCCCACCACAGTCACTTCTCTACCTGCTGCATGGGGTGCAAGACTCACCTGGCCACCAGCTGATTGAATCCTTGCACCACCATATTCCATGGAGGATGCTCTAAGCATGTGTGCAGCCCAAAAATTTACAGTTGCTGTCAAAGACTCAACCACAAAGTAGCTGAACAGCAGGGGACCCATGTACTCTCTGATGTTCTTATGGCTAGGCTGCCTTAATGAGAGCTCTCATGGGATTCAGAAACATCAGAAAATTATCCCTTTTTGTTACTGCCAAGTCAGACCTCTGTCATGTTTGATACTGGCCATCATGGCCCAAAATGAGAGACTGAGCTCCCTGGGAAAAAACACTTTTCCTTATCAGATTTTGGGAATTTACATAACCACTGTGGAACCCAACTAAATTTCTGCAACATTTAGTGACAGATAATTTCTGTTTCCACTGAAGGTTTTCACAATCTCCTGCACAATTGGTAACAATCGTCAGACGTGTTCCTTGCAGTTACAGAATAAATACAGGACACGTTGCAGCTAATGGACAGGTAAGTGGTCCTTGCCATCACTGGTAAGCAACATAGAGCCTTAAAATAGCTTTAACATGTTGCCTGTATCACCCCAAACTGAACTCACGTTCGTATTTATTTACTATTTATTACAGTCTGCAGCATAATTGCTTTAAAGCCCTTATCAAATTAAACACAGATTATGACCGAAAGTAAGTGGTTATTTTAACTCACAATCAGTAAATTTACTTCTAAAAAATCTTTTTGTATGGGAAGTGCTTCCTAGTATGAATAATGATGATGACCATAATTTGAACTGCCAGTACTAATTTTATAATAAGAGAGAGCTGCCAGCACACCCTTAGTCTATCGATGGTTGTTAATTTATCTTTAGAGAAGTAAAGACAGCCAAAGAAGAGGAAGCAATAGTGCTGAATTCTGTCAGGATTCCTCCTTTCTGAGGCGCTCCAATAAAGCTACTATCTTTTCAGACAGCCTCTTCTGGTGCAAAAATAGCATCCAAGTAAATGTCACCCCGTGACAAAGATAATTATTATATTAGAGACTTGTATGACAACAGGCATGCATAATGTAGATTCTGTCTACACATAAACAGTTACATACAGCTGAGGACATGCATTCAGCTGACAAATGATTTGCAAATATTATTCTGTTGACGGAGAGACACAAAGTTCAAGGTGGCCTTGGTTAGTAAACAAAGACGGAAAATGTACCTCACACACTCACCCCATGCCTAAAAACCAAGCCACTTAGAAAAAGACATCTGGGCGTTCAAGAATCAGCACGACAGTATTCAGAGCCCATCAAAACACGCGGCCACGGCTTGGCGTCTTGTAGCTAGGCAACGTACTTCATACATTCAAAACATAGTTGTAAAAGTGGGATTCTCCTGCCAATTGCTGCCACTCTCATTGAAAAGCCAAACTGGAAAAAATATCTCTTTAGTTCGAAGTGGGGTTGTTTTCTCCAGGAAACATCTTTACTGCTTTTTCATCCTTTAACCCTTTTCGTGTTTACATTCCAAGAGCAGCAAACAGATTCATGTTGACATTTCAAGTGTAAGCATATAAAAATCGTGTGGACTCACACATACTCCCTGCAAAGAACATCATGAACACATGTACTGAGAAACCCTAGTCTTGTTCTTATTGAGTAAAATACCGAAACACAATGCCAAACAACGTGCTGCAACGCCAAACAATGTGCGTGTGCACACAGCAAACCATCAAAGCAGATTAAGTTATCCTGAACTACATCAAGGAGATAATCCTATAGTAAAAGCTGTTAAAATGTAAACTAAGGAAAAGGAAGCCTGCGCTTTTTTCCTCAGGAAGCATTTACATCCCTAAGTAACAATGCAAGCAATATTTGCACCTTAAGAGTGGAAGAAGACCACAGGAACTGTGATGCTTTGTTTAGTTTAGGTACTACTTGCATCCAAAAGAAGTAACTCTACACATGGAAGATGCATTGCTCAGGAGTCTTTGAAAGTGGGTTACTGATTAGCAGCACACTCTTACTCTGCCAGGAGGGCATCCATGCAAAGAATCACAGATAAGCATCTGTAAAGCAAGTGCACTTTAAAATCACATCCTATCTCAATCCAAATTAACTTAGTAATTGATGTTAAGGTTCACAGTCTGCCACCCTAAGAGTTTCTGAAATGTCATAAATCCCAGGGAAATAAATGGGAATGCTGGCAGAGAGAAACACTCTTCAGTGAGAAGTGATGGATTCTGGCCCAGGTGTAATTAATAAGCCATTAGAAAGGATGCTTACAGCAAAGAAGCAAGAGCATTCTGACCCAGACTAGGTAGCATACTTTCATTCAGATTATAATGATAAAAAAATGAAATTTTTCAAATTAGACTGATGGGCTTTAAACTGCTAAAAAAGGCTCCTGTTGTACAACTGATGCCTGACTGACACAGAACCTAATGTTTCAACTATTTACAGCTATAAAAGCAAGCCAGGCATTTTTTTTCCCCCTTCTGGAGCAACTCCTTCCACAAACCATCCAAAGCATCCTTTTTGGCAGGCTCCTATGATGTAGAAAAGCAGGAGAACTCAAATGAACGGAAAGTCATGCAGTTATTTTTTTCATACTTGGGGAAGGGAAAAAAGGAAAACACCAAACCCAAACCGCTGAAGGGATATTCTTACAGAAGAACTTCATTGCATAAACTCGGCCACATGTCTACTAGAGCAATGTCCCTTAACGACCTCTGGCAATGCAATTAATCAACAACCAAGCGTGGAGTAAAGCACGGCTCTGCATGGGTAATACCAGCCAGATCCAACTCACAGTTACCAGGACGCCCATTTTTCACTTGGGGGGCAAGAAAGGGACTGCATCCCCTCACCAGCAGCCCAACTCACTCAACTTTTGCAGCTCTGTTTACCTGCGGTTTGCATTTACGTCCTACACTGGAACCACAAGTGCTGCTGGTTTCCAGTGTGGTTGAGCTATTCTTGCTGGAAATAGCATCTCAATGCACTCAACAAGGAAGTCGTCTGTACTCTTAAGGTGTTATCCACCATTTTCACCAGCAGGTTTGTTTGGGGACTAATTTAGGCTAGGAAGTGCTATTAGCCCTTTCTGCTTGGACCATCACTGCAGAGAGAGAGGAGCTGCATGTTGAACATCTCAATGGGAAAGATGGGACAATGTCATGCCTCAAGCATGGGCGGCCTCAGCTGAGTTCCCCCGATCAGGTAAATCACTCCCTCTCCACCCTGGTAGGAGTCCCAACTTTCATGCACTGGCATGAAAATGTGTACCCGCATTGGGGGTGACTCCGCAGGAGAGGGGAGCGGGCACACGGAAATGAGTGCACCACCGGTTGGGTTCTCAACCCCTCTTCCATCCCTGCCAGCTGCCCCTGAGGTGCAGTGCAACTCGACGGGAGAGCCGAATCCGTGGGCGGGGAGGCAACCACGGGGCAAAGCAGAGCATCGTGTCTGGAGGCCCGCCAGGCTCGCCACGCTGCAGCTCGGCCACCCACGGCCCGTGGACCTGCACGCCGCTGCCGGCCGGGGCGATGCCTACCTCGCGGGTGAAGAGGATGGCGGCATCGTAGTGCTCGTCGTGGTCGTCGTCGAGGCGGTTGTGCTGGTGCTGCCACTTGCAGAAGTTCTTGAGAGTGGTGGCGGCGTTCCTGTTGACCTCCAACCCCTTCTCCTTCTCGCCCAGGGCCACCACCTTGACCACGGCCAGCCGGACGTGGTTCTCCAGGCTGGCGTGGGCGTAGAGCCGGGAGGCGATGGAGGCCAAGGTGAGCAGGTAGTGCTGCAGCCCCTTCCCGTACTTGCGGACCATGGAGGCGTCGGCCACCAGCAGCAGCTCCACCTGCCGGGCCCGGGAGACGGAGCGACGCCGCCGCCGCCGCCGCCTCCCGTCCCCCGCTGCAGCTCCGGCGGGGTCTCGGGTCTCGCAGCTGGTGCGGGCGGGCACCGTCTCGAAGCTGAAGCGCTCCCTGCGGAAGAGGTGCGGGGTTCGGGCCGGGCCCTCCCCGTAGATCCGCGGGCCGGCCGCCTCCGCTGTGCGCCGCGCCGGCCGGACGGTGTAGCGGGAGCGCCCCACGGCGAAGAAGCCGTCGAGGCCGCCGCAGAGGTCGAAGACGGCGAGGGAGCGGGGGCTGCCGTCCACCGTGCCGCGGTAGTGGCAGCGCGGCCCGTCGCGCTCCAGGTCGAGCAGGAAGCGCTGTCCCCCGGCGTAGAGCACATACCCCGCCTTGCCGCCCCCCGCGTAGGTCGGGTCGAGGCGCCGCACGACGCCGCTGGCCCCGCGGGGCGGCCCGGGGGCGGGGGGCCGGGGGGGCGGCGGCGGCGGCGCTCCCGGGTCGGCAGGTGCCGGCGGCGAGGCCAGAGCGCGGTGCGGCTGGGCCGCCAGCAGCAGCGACAGCAGCCTCAGGAGCATCCTGCCCCGCCGTCAGGAGCGGCGGCGGGAATTAGGAGGAGTAATAATAATAACAGGAGTCGGGGACGGCGGTGGAAAGAGCCGGCCCGGCGGAGTGCGGCAGCGTTAGTTAAGGGACGGAAAGAAGGGGGAAGATGGGGGGGAAAGGGGAAAAAAAAAAAAAGAAAAAAAAAAGAAAAAAAAAGAAAGAAAGTTCTCCCTCCCAAACTCGAGTCAAGTGTGAGTGGGAGAGAAAAAAATGTCAACAAAAGCCGTTCGCGTGTGAACTTTGTGTTTCTCAGCAGGGAAGAGCCGGGAGCACATGGAAGGAGAGAGAGAGGCAAAAAAATCCCAAATCGCTGCTGCTGCCTGGGAGGTAAAGTGGGGAGAGAGGAAAAGGAGGAGAGGAGGCTCGGAGCCGGCAAGTAGAGAAGTTTGAGCACTTCCCACTCCTCTTCCACTTCTCTGCTGTAGTCACCGGATCATCACCAGCAGCAGCAGGGGCAGTGGCCAGGTCTGTTGCTACTCGGCACTTTCTCGAGCTCCGGTGGGCTCCCTTTCCTTCTTTTGCCCCCTTTTGTTTTGAAGAGCAGAAAGGGAGACAAGAAATTCAGGCACCAAAAACCGCCTCGATCGTCTCCGGTGAGATGGTTAAAAAGGAAAAAAAAAAAAAAAAAGCGCCCAAGAAGCGGAAAACGTCCTGGATTTCTGTAAAAGCGCCCTCCCTGTATCTTTTCTGTTGTTGTTGTTATCCCCAGTCTGTCGATGTGAACAAGAGGAGAAGGGAGAGAAATGTGAAGATGAGAGGAGGTGGAACAATGAATTTATAGCGGAATGCCATCCTGCAATGGCAATTTCAACAATTCGTCACTGCAGGCTGCCTCTTAAAGGGAGAGCTTCAAAACCACCACTCCCACACTTCCTTCTCATTTAATCAGACAGAAGGAGAAACTTGAGGGGAGGCGGAAAGGGGGGGCGGCTGCGGGGGGAGGAGAAAAGGAGGGATAGTGAGCGGGAGAGAGGGAAGCAGAAGAGGGGAAGAGCCGGGAGAAGCCGGGGAGGGGAGAGAGACCGGGAGTAAAAACTGTGTGTGAAAACCGCGAGGTTTTCCCCGAAACGCTTGAAACCTCAGAGTCACCCGGGGTTTGAGCTGTCACCGCTGGCCGGGGACGGTGGAGCCGCGCTTACCTCCCGTCGTGCCCGCCGCCCCCGCTCTGCTGCCTGGCGCTGCAGTTTGCAAAGCTCGGTGGAGGAGGCAGGTTTGCGTCTGGCTCCGGAGGGGAGGGAAGCGTCCGGGGCTTTTCGGAGAAGCCGGTGATGCGGCGCCCGAGGGCGGTCGGGGGAGCGGAGCGGCTGCGGCTGGCGAGGGATGTCCCCGGCGCTGCCCCCCGTGTCCCGGCTCGGACCCTGCCCATGCCTCTTTCCCGGGTCGGCGGCAGCGCCAAACTTCCCCTCTTTGTCTGGGCGGCCACGGCTCGTCTGCATCCAGCCTGTCATTAAGACCCGGCAAGCTGTCATCTAGTGTGGACTGTGATTTCCCCTGAGCCCCGAGGACGAGAGAGGGCGGGGAAGCGGTAATGCTTGCTCTAATCTTTCGAATGACTTCAGATACTTAGATCATCCCCCCGCTGACACACATATCCACTAACCCTATTCCCTCGTCTTCCACCCCCTGCTTCGTGCTCCAGCGGGGACACCGCAAAGTGCAGATGACTGCCCTATTTCCGCTTTCATGTGCCCTTTCCACCTAAACATTACCCACAGAGTGAGTGGAGATTGGCAAACAGCTCGTTGTCTGCCCAGACCATGGGCTGGAAGGCAGCGCGGTCTCTGGGAAGGCAGGAGGAAGGGGACCCCTGAGGACTCCGACCCCACTGATTTCACCCTGCTGAGGTACGGACCCTGCATCGTCGGGGCCTTGCCTTGCACCAAGTCAAGCAAGGATGCAGGGGAAACAGCAGTGCTTATTATCTTGTGTGTTTCCTCTCCATGTCCCAAAAGGGGTGCTTGGAACAGGTGCTCTCTGGCGGAGGGACTCCAGAGGGATGTAGGTCTCCAACCCCATCCTCACCTGCAAACAGCATCTCAGCCCGACTGCTCTGTCCGCAAGAGAGTGATGTGCACATGTGTGATGCTTTGCAGCATCAGGGCCATCCATAGTGGTGGGATGCCCTATGGCAGACCAGCACCTGCCTCTGTAGCTTCCAAGGGCTGCTTTGAGAGTCTGGCACTTCTCTGAGGAACAGGCTAACTGAAGCCACAAATGTTTCAAAAATTAATATTCCCGTGTAAATGATTACATTAACATAACCCTGAGGTTATGCTTATGAAATGTTTAACGCACCGAAGTTTTGCCGGTGTTCTTTCTTCTTTTTCCATTTTTCCAGAAATGGTGATACCTGAGATCAAAAGTTCATTTCTCAACCTCCTGGTATCTCTTATTTTACATTTCACTATTCTGTCATCACCAAAAGTTTTTGACTGGAGTCAGTAAGTTTCAAAATTAAGAGTTATACATCAGGAAGGTCACATTAACATTTTTGGGCATTGGTCCAGGACTATTCAGCATCTAAAGATTTAAACAGCTACTTTAAGCTAGTTATAAAGTTAAAATAGTTGAAGAAAAATTTAGAGAGAGAAAAAGAAGAAGACAAATTTTGATTACAAAAAGAACATGTAATTTGTCTCACACTTTTTCTTGGATGGGTTTTGTTTTTCATTTGAGATTAATGTATATCTAATATATACATTATATTAGATCATAATAACATTATTAATATATAATGTTCAGTACCAACAATATTTTTATTTACTTCACTGGGACATGATCAAGCCCTGGATTTGCAAATATGTGTGGATCCAAACTCCCAGATACCCCTGGAAGAGGTACTAAAGATGAGATCTGGGATAAGGAATGTATTTTGGATAACAACCTCAGAAACTCTCATTAAAAAAGTGTTAGTTTGTCAATGAAAAGGCACAAGAGACCAGTGTAAGGTTCTCCCATGCTACAGCCTAATTCCACCTGTCCGAACATATAACCTTGGAAAAAACAGGAATGCTTAGAAGGGCTAGTGATAATTAAATGGTGTGTCTCACTGCTCATCTCTTGTGTTGTCTTTGATTTCCCAAATGACAGGAAAAGTTGGCTAAGCTTCCACAGTGCCCTGTTTCACTGAGCAAGGATCTAGGCTTTCCAGGAAGGTACAAATTAGCCTTTGCAAATTACCCCATAGATTATGAAATCTTTCCTATTTATATTTCAAAACTGCAATAACTCAGCACAGCAGTGCAATAATGGAAAGATAGGTCAGTCATGACTCGTGCAACGAGAGAGACCTCTTTTAGTCTGAGAGCCTGGAAGTGTAAGGATAAATCACTGAAATGAATCATCTTTTTCCTCACAGTTTTGCCCTCTTAGCCTCCTTTTACAGTTACAGCACTGCCTTTAAACAAGAAATCCTGTTAGCATGTCCCAAGTTGTGGATGACACTAAATCCTTGTCAAACAGTTCTGACCTGGAAATTTCAAAGCTGACCTTTCTCAACTGAGAGATAGAGAGCCAGAAATCCTCAATTAGCTTTAAGGCACAACACAAGTTTTGTGCACTTTGGACCAATTCAGTACTGATGAAAGAAGACGCAATCCCCTTGAGTCTCTGGGAGCTACAAGCTGCTTTCATTAAGTTGTGTTTCACCCCCTAGCTTTGTCCATGAAAATCTTTAGGATCCTGCAAATAACAGCCTTGGTAGCTGGGGATTCCTGTTCATATAGTATCTTAGGCATGTAAGAAACATTGCTCTAAGCAGTAGAAACACTCACATGAAGGAATAGCTTGAGGGACGTGGAGATCTGTGTGTCCTTTAAATTGTTTATAAAACGGTCCCATTTTGCATCACCTCTTTTTCGGTTCTCAGTCATGTTGCAAGGGGTAGAAAACCATAAATTCAACTGAATTGTTGACAATTAGCCCTTTTTTGCCTGCAACCCCCTGACAGTAGTTAAGGGCTAGCAGAGATGTCCTACCCAACACTGCCTGTCTTTCACCATTAACTTAACTCTTCCTTCTTGAATATTAAAATAATTCTGTTCAGATTTTATTGTTCTAGTGCTAGGACTGTCTGGCATTTCTATATAATTGCACAGGGAAGATAACAATTACTATGGGAGGCAACAGTTGTTCTATAAAAATATAAGAAAACCAAATCAAACCCAGGAAAATTGCCTGCTCATCATGTTTCAAAGTAATACCAACCAAACAGCATCTGATAGACTTGTGATCAACACAGGGAACTGGCCCCAGGTTTGGGTAAGATCCTATTCAAGAATCTACCTGTAGCAAGACACTTCTTAACATGGGACAACTTTGTCCCTCCTGAGAATTGAAAACCTCTGTTCTATTAACTTTATAGGAAATTTTGATACGTTGAGAAGGACTTGGGGGTGCTGGTGGATGAGAGGCTGGACATGACCTGGCCATGTGCACTGTTGGAGTGAGTCCAGAGGAGGCCAGCAAGATGATCAGAGGGATGGAATACCTCTGCTGTGAGGAAAGGCTGAGAGAATTGTGATTGTTCAGCCTGGAAAAGAGAAGGCTTTTTGGTGACCTAATTGTGGTCTTGCAGTGCCTGAAGGGAACCTACAGGAAAGATGGGACGAGTCTGCGGAGTGACAGGATAAGGGGAATGGCTTCAAACTTTCAAAGAGTAGATTTGGATTGGATATTAAGAAGAAATTCTTTCCTGTGAGGGTGTTGAGGCCCTGGCACAGGTTGCCCAGAGCAGCTGTGGCTGCCCTATCCCTGGAAGTGTTCAAGGCCAGGTTGGATGGGATTCTGAGCAACCTGGTCTCATGGAAGGTGTCTCTGCCTACGGCAGGGTGGTTGGAACAGGATGATCTTCAGGGTTCCCTTCCAACCCAAACCATTTTATGACTCTCTGATTCTATGATATCGGCAAGGCGAAGCCTGCCTGCAACAGGAGGCTGTTTGAATCTTTATTCCCTCAGAATAAAGCAAAACT